TCTAATTTCTCAATAAAAGCCATGCGCTGACCTGATTCGGGGCTCGCTCAGATTCTCTGACTGAGTCCCTTGGGCTTGCTCAGTTTCTCTGACTGAGTCCCTTGGTCTCCCTCTTAAACTTTACTTCTGTCTCTGACTCTTTATTCAATCTACGCCGCCCCTCAAGAGAAACCCGTTTGCCCTTGCCACGCTGGACGTGACAAGTGTGGCCAAAGCATAGAGAGTGAGGGGTGGTAAAGTGGTGTACAACGGAATCAGGTGAGTGGTTTGAAAGGCCTTTGGTGTAAAGAATGAATAATAAGAGGAACAAGAGTAGATTTGAAAAGGACAGGCAGGAGGCTATTGATTGCTAGTCTGGATGAGAGGTGACGGGAGCTTAGACTGGGGAGATGCTGATGGAGTAGAGGGAAGCTGTCAAAGTCGCCAGATACTCGGCAGGCAAAACCAGGAGGACTAGGTGATATGTAGTCACTAGACGGTGAGAAAGAGAGGAGTTTCAAGGGTGACCTATAGATTCCTGACTTGTAAAGTGGCGGGTATGGTAGATAGAAAACCCCAGAGGAAAACAAGTTTGGGGGAGGAGGGAAGATCATGAGTTTGGTCTGGGGCATATTGGGAATTTGAGACATGCAAGTAGAAACATTAAATGCATAGTTGGATTTAAGCGTCGGAGCTGAGACAGGTCTGGGGTAGAAATGGATTTGAAGGCATTGACATGTAGATGACATCTGAAGGAGAGGGCATGGTTGAACCCACTTATGGAGAGAATGTAGGAAAAGAAATGGGGGCCTAAGCCTAGCCTTGAGGAGTTCCCACATTTAGTGGCCAGGTGGAGAAAAAGATGGACCTGCAAATAAGCCAGAAGGAGTGGCTGGAGAAGAAAGGAAAAAAACCAGAAAAGAGTGTGTGGGCACAGTGGACAGAGCTCTGCAGAAGCAGGAACCTGCTCTGTGTCCTGAGAAAGACAGGTCATTATCTCTAGCCACTGTCACAGTCCTTCTCTTCAGGATACTTCATTCATTCATTCATTCATTCATCCATTGAACAGAGGCTCCTACTGGGTCTAACACAAGTGTCCTCGGCTCCTGGTAGATACAGGCCCTAGGGGATAATAACTGTAGAGTCACCAGAACCATAGGTCAGGGCAGACAGGAGTGAAACATAATCACATGGACAGCAACTCCAGTTAATTCGTGAACGAAATTAATGGGAGAGTTTATTTACAGATACGAATGGAAAGACCACTGGACTAAGGGTCAGGAAACCGGAGATCCAATCCAAGTCGCCCACTACCTGCTATGCCAGCTTGGGGAGCTCTCTCACCAGGCTTGTTTTAGCATCATTAAATTTCAGGGGAGAGGACTTCGGGAGGGTGGGTAGGTGGGGAAAGACAGGCAGGAAAGAGGAAATAAGGCTCCTTCTGCATAGTCCATGGGATTCTTACGAAGGTCTTATGAAATCAAATTGTCTCATCATTCTTTGGAAAACATAGCATCAGATATGTTTCTATAGGGCATAAGGAATTTTTCTATTAGTCTTATAAAAATAGAACCATATAATTTCTAAACCTGGAGTGTTTGTTTCCAGGCATTTATTTCTTAAAAAGCTGCATGAATGCCCTTTATCTCTTTTTTAGTTTGCTGTCAGCACCTTTTTCTTTTCTAACTAAAAAGACAAAAAGAGAAAAAAAAAAAAAAACCTCTAAAATCTATTACTGATGCAAGGAAAAGGATAAATATAGAATTTTAACAAAATGGATTCAGGACCACCCAAGCAAAAGGATTTCAGGCCAAAGAGTGAAAACAAAGGGATTACCACTAAATCCTCAAACCTGTTTTAAAAGCTGAGGAGAAAGGAGAGGTCTCATCCAACCATTACCTGAAAACCCTGCCAGTGTGTGTGACAGCTATTCAGTGACCTCTCTTCGGGAGGGCCAGCTGGTGCCTGGCTTTTTAATCAGCCCTCTTCAGAGCAGTAGTTGTGGCGCCAGTCCTGGCGTGGCAAAACCCTTTCTTATTTGTAGCGAATTATCTCTGGAGCAGCACCACATCAGCCAAAAATCATCTCTGCCCTGAAACAAGAAGCGGGCTCCAGCACTTTCTATCAGCAACCTCGCGTCTGAACTGCTCAGGACCCAAGCTTTCCTTTTCTAAATGTAATCTTGACTTCAGACGTTACACATCTCATTCATTTCCTTCAATCATACTTTAAAAGCACCTCAAGTCCAGAGGCTCATGGACCACGAAGCAAATAAACCTTCAGCTTCAGGGCTTTTCTACTGAGGGGCCTCTTCTCGGGGCCTGTACCTTGTTTTAGCTTAGAAGTTTGGTATTCCTTTTCTTAAAGAGCCAGCTCCCGAAAACGCGCTCCGCTCCTGCCGTGAACTGCCAAGAAAATGCTAGACTTGCTAATTGTTGAGACTGTAACTGGGCTGTGTTTGATGACTTCAATCCACTTTTCATGGCCCATTTTACTCCAGATTTTTTGGGTATACTTATATAAATGGGATTCCCAAATTCTCTAGAATTCTAGGATCATTTTTTTTTTTAATTAAGAAAAATGAATTGAGCCTCCTTTCATATAAATGTAGGGAATCCAGCATGCTTCCCCCATTTCTAAAGTTTCTTGGGAGCTGTGTAATAAGGAGAGGGGTGACTCTGGTTACCTCTCAGGCTCAATGCCTCCTCCGGGCCACATCAGCTTCTGCCCCCTCCTCTCAATACTTCTGTGTGAAGTCAGTCCTCTCCTTCAGTCCCCAAAGCACACCTTTACACAAGACGGTTGCTTAAGGAAACAGATTCCTCCTGAATGGCTGAGGGATCTGCAAGCAATTACAGGGCATCAGGAAAAAATTCTAAATCAAACACTGGACATGATTTTTCTTCAAGATTATGCTCTCCGTGGAAGGATCTGCAGTCTGGGGGCCTGTTCTCTCATGGAAACTGATTTCATCTCACTGTCTCTAAGTCTCTCAGGGACAACACACTTCCTCCCTCTAGAGAAGCTGTGGGAAAACTCTTGAACTTCATTACACAGGCCAGTTGATCTCTCTCCATTTTAACCTCCCCCTCCAAGTTCAGGTCCAGGGACCTTTGCATTTCACAACCAGAAATAGCCACTCAGTCATGAATCTCATGATGACTCTTTAAGGCAGAAGGAGTATTGACCATTCTGTGCCTCCTTTTAAATATAAAAATGCTCCTTTCCATTATTTTCAAAGTGGAATTATTAAGAGGGCTCCAGTATTTGAGATCACACAGCATAGCTCCTACCTTCTTGGGTTTGCATGTGTGACTCTTAGCTCACCTGGCCCTTCACATTCTGGGTAACTTAGTAAAACAATCCTCTACAGCAGCGGTTCTCAACCTGTAGGCTGCGACCCCTTTGGGGGTTGAACGACCCTTTCACAGGGGTTGCCTAAGGCCATCGGAAAACAAAAAGATATTTACATTACGATTCATAACAGTAGCAAAATGACAGTGATAGAGTAGCAATGAAAATAATGATATGGTTGGGGGTCACCACAACATGAACTGTATTAAGGGGTCACGGCATTAGGAAGGTTGAGAGCCGCTGCTCTACAGGATGGGCTTTTCACTTTGTTCCCCCTCCCCACACCCCCCCCCTCTCCTGCCCACACAATCATCGTTCCCTCTGATAGTGAATTTAAAATGACTCAGTTCAATGCTTAGGCCTGTTGTTGGCAATTTTAAACCCATCTGGACTTTGGGCATGCTGAGAAACAAGCAACGCGGATGTTTCATGGAAATTCACTTTTTGGCCTCTGTTCACTGACAAAGCTGTGGCTTCTAACCAGCATTGTCAGTTGAGCATTGGTTACTTGCCTTCTTAGGCTTTGAGAAAGAGATCAGTGTCAAAGTATAATTTTCACAAGATTAGAAACATGACTGTCATACAAAATAAAGTGAGTACACACTGGAGAAGGAAGGACGAAAACTGGTTCAAAGGAATATGGGAGAAACAGATGTCTTTGTAGTTGCTGAAAGAAACCACACTGGAATAAATCACTAAATTACACACAAAACTGGTTCATGTCACACAGGGCAATAAAACTTAGGCCTTTGGGCTGTCATCATTTTTACCAGGCAAAAATAATTTCTTTGTGGGCAAAATTCATTTGTATTGCTATCAGAATCATTGGCACTGCTTTAGGTTTACTACAATTTAACATTCACAGATCATTAGTAAATAACAAGTCATACAAAGGTATATATGGCACCCTAGAGAATTATGTAATCCTTAGGTGGGCCCATTGGACATTACTCAGTGTGACATAGAGAGGGTATTCAGTCACCCTTTTCCCTATGTCCAAGTTTTAGATATTTTTTTCCCTTAACATTAGAAAACAACTATATTTTCCTCTCAATATCTCTAGGTATATCAGTCATTTAAAAATTCTTTGCTCAATAATGGTTTCTAGGATAAAGCCTATTATTTTAGAGAACAGTATACTTAATACAGTTCTGACTTTTAAGCCTCCCCTAGCCCTGCAAAATGTTCTTTTATTTAGAATAATCTATGAATGGGTTAGGTGCAAGGTATTTCTATACATGCAGAAAACTGAATAACTCCAGCTATGACACCTAGCATGACTGGATACTGGGCTAAAGGTATTAATTATAATTATGCTTTCATCAGAGATAACAAAGACACGGTAACGTACTTCCTTTTAACTTTGACATATTAAACTAAAGTTATAAAACCTTAAGAAGAGTTGAAACAATAAATTCTTCTGGGTGATAGGTATGATTTTAAATATATTAAAGGGAGGAAAGTGTAAAACATATCGATATTCTGACTTTTCATTTTCCGATGGTCAGTCGATCACTACAGAGCAAGTGCACAGCCCTAAAAGGGCAAATGACTTTTCTAGGCGGGCATGGGAGCTGGGCTCACTTCCGTGACTGCCCCATTGCTTGCCAACAGACCTTCTAGGATGCTGCCCTATAATAAGGAAGGTGTTTCCAGCAGTTCCTACTCATGAGCACTACAGGAAGGAGGTTTTTCAGAGATAAGGAAACATAGGCAGGAGTTAGCTGTGCTGTGGAAGCATTTATATAACAAAGAGTCTAAGTATCCCTCTGCAGCACCCCAGCCTCTGCAGCGGAGTTCCAAATTCCAGCCCTAATCCTACAGAATTCCCACTGTGCTCCTTTGGCTGAGCTATCTTGGAAATTCTTTCTGCAGCTGTTGGGGAGGCACGTTGCAATCAGGGGACAGTAGCAATGATGGAAGTGATTTACTGCACATCCAAAACGTAATTCCACAATCACAGGATAAGGAGGATGAGGGAAATTTGAAATCTATTGATAATTCCTAAACTTGAGTGTTGATGAGGCTGTAATTAACCCCATGTTCCAAAATGGCCATTTGGATAAGGCCAATAATCAGCAATTTAAACTTATAAGGTTAAATTTATTCTCCTTTTATTTCCCTTCTTTATTCTTGGTGAGGAATATTATGGAAAAAAAGGTCAAGGGGTGACTGAGGATGGGGAACAATAAATATCTGAGTTTTAGAAAATTGCATAATGTGTCTATTTATATAATTTGGAATGTACTGGCGTCACACAGCTTCAGCAGTGCTTTGTTTTGATCAAAGTTACTTTCCATACTTCGTTTGTGAGTCTCATAGAAAGAATAACTTAGTAGTATCTTGTAATACGATTTAATATGTCTCAAACTCAAAAAGTCCCCAGTTTTGCCTTACAAAAGAGCTGGCAGTTAGGTTATGATTACTTTTTTTTTTTTTAAGCCAGGTATTGGCTCTGTAAAACATGAATGGGGAAAAAGCACAGTAAGAATCTTCAAGTGATTAATCTTGGCTGCAAGTCTGACTTGCAATTCAGTAATGAAATGAAATCGTCTCCTTGTACCTAGACAAAAAAAAAAAAAGTCAACAATGTATTCTGTTCATTGCTCCTTCCTTGAGCCACAGAGAGATGGGACCATGACTGATACCACTTGTTAGATGATAATGAAATGCAATTGGTATCCAGCAGACCCAGCAGAAATAGTCCGAGACACAAGAAAAAATGCCCAGATGGCATTCCCCATTTTTCAAACTAAAAAAGCCAATTGCCTCTCCACTTTGTGCCAGAATGCTGCCTTTTCTAGATAGAGGCTCACGCATGGATTTCATGCCCGATGAACCAGTGTACATATTAACAAGCCACTCAGGGCTTCTTTCATCCCAGCCCTCCATTCGCTCACTCACACAGTGCCTAAAACGCTGAATTGGGGAAGAGGAGGGGATGAAGTGAGAGAACACTATAATGGGAAAATAAGATCAAATATGGTCAGGTAGTAACCCCCAACTGAGCTCATCCCCGTTGTACTCCCATGACAGTCAGTATCTCCCAGGTGTACCTCAAAACAACCATAACAAAGTAAATTCTTCTTTAGGGTAAGCGTCTCACGAGCAGTTCCACTTGTATCCCAATTCGTGCCATCCAATAACAGCCTCAAATTGTGTGAAGCTTAAAATGAACACATGCAGATACACACACAAGACCAAAATGAGATACAGGGAAGAGAAGAAATGAGCACCAGCTGCAGCTCAATTAAGCAAAGGCTCCCACAAGGGAAAGCTTACTTCGCATGTACCTAAACAAACTCACTTCCTTTTTGTTGCAATTTTCTGCTTATTAATTTTTCTTAGGAAAATGACTACAAAAACTAACCAAGGGCATTGTTATCACATCAGGAGGAAAAAAAAAATCTTCCCAGTTCTTCTAATCAAAAGGATGCCTTGAGAGGATATTGTTAGTCAAATATGTGTGTTTGTAACATTTAAAAAACGCTTACCATATTTGCCGGCGTATAAGACGACTGGGCGTATAAGATGACCCCCTAACATTTCCACTCAAAATACAGAGTTTGTTATATACTCGACGTATAAGACTACCCCCTCTTCCGCACACCTTCCACACACCAAATAAAAGGTAAAACAATATCAGATTTGATTTCAACATTTATATTTATATTCAAATGCTTATGACATGCAGGAAAACTGTCACAAGGCTGTATGTAATCAAACATATACATAAATCGCGATTCGCGATTTTGCGCTATCATACTGGGTGTATGGTCGGCTGTGTGCGATTTTGCGAGTGTGGTAAAATCGCATAACAGCAAAATCACATAACAGCCAAGCATACACCCAGCAGCGCTGCTGATGCCTGAACGGTATGTGGAATGAAGTGGGCGGGCATCGGGAGGCCACTATGGCACGGGGCAAGCACTATGGGCAGTCTATCTGAAGTGTACCTGGCATATAAGACGACCCCCCACTTGGAGGCATATTTTTCAGGGCCAAAAAATCGTCTTATATGCCGGCAAATACGGTAAAATGAAAAAATCAGTCACACATGCACAAGGGTTATGATGGAAAAGTCATTTGCAGCTCCATTCGTCCTTACCTCTTCAGGGGCCACAACGTTCAAGCCTTTTAGCTATTTTCTTTGGTATGTGTCTCTGTATTTCTAGATAATATGCTTCCACTGTGATTTCTGGATGGATGAATTTTTACTTTATCTCCTGACTTCCTATATGATGAAGATTTTGCTGCGTTTTACCATGAGTCCTACCGTTACCAACCTCCCCTTTCTTCCCGCAAAATCCCACTATAATTATATTGAGGGTGAGGGGAGTAAAGATGGCGAATAAAGCCTGAGGCCTTGTTCTACCGCGTACTGTGAAGTGCATATAGACCGCCAAAGAAAAAAAATGCAAACTCACACAAACACAGTGTTTGTTCTGTGCCAGGCACGGTTCACAGCACATTATATACATTAACTCA